TGTCCTTTTTTTTGTTTCTTTGTTTTTCTGTTTTTTTTTTTTTTGTTTTACTTTCGGACGTCCATTCATTATTTTTCGTTATGTTTGCATATATGACATAAGTAATGTCTCATATAATAATATTGGTTATAATAATTTTTATAATGACAATAATTTCCTAATTATTTATTGTTTAATTGATAAATAGGGAGAGAGAGAGAGAGAGAGAGAGAGAGTGAGTGAGTGAGAGAGAGAGAGAGAGAGAGAGAGAGTGAGTGAGTGAGAGAGAGAGAGAGAGAGAGGGAGGGAGTTCGAATAATATTTACATTATTAATCTCATACGTAGAGCAATAATTTGAAAAAAGAAAAGAGATATAAAATAAAAGAAAAAAATAAAATTGAATTAAGTAAAATTGTATTAGAATGATATTATATGTATGATGAAGAAAAGTAATTTTACGTTTTTGTCTTATTGAAAGTACGATTAAATTAAAGATTAATAATTGAAGATTAAATTAAAGATTAATAATTTATAAAGATAGATAATTGTTAGAATTTTGTTCGAGAATAGATTATAGAATATTTTACTTGGAAATAATAAATTTTTTAATATAAATATAAAAATATAAAAATATAAAAAGAGAAAAAAAGAAAAAATGAAAACTTTTTATTAAAAATACAAAATAATATTACGAATAAAATTGAATTAAATAATGATTGATTGAGAAAGATATTCAAAGTATGAGATATAGTTTTACGTTTGTTTTTTGTACCATTAAAAGTTACGATTAAGATTGAAATTGTTCGAAATTTTGTTAAAAATTGTTCAAAATTTTGTACGAAAATATAATTTTATAAATGGAATATCTTATATATGAGAATAATAAATTTTATATATATATATATATATATATATATATATATATATTGTTTGTGTGTATATGCTAAAGAAAAACGAATGAATTATTTCAAAAGAGAAAATGGCGCGATCATTTTCTTAACGCGCGAAAATATACCCCGGTTAAAGATTTGTCGCCATTGAGAAGAGCCATCAAGTTCCTTCTGAGCTTGAACAATCTAAATGGTAATCCGATACCACACCCACTTTGCAAAAACCAAAAACCTAACCCGACCGTCTCGCCGATGGTGCAAAAATTACCTATGCGAGTGAGAGAGATAGCTTATATGTACATACATTATGTCCATGAGTATATGTGTGTCCCCTTTGACTGTATAAGAAAGACAAAGACAGACAGACAGACAGACTGACAGACAGACAGACAGACAGACAGACAAACAGAGAGAGAGAGAGAGAGAAAGACAGACAGGCAAAGAGAGAGAGAGAGAGAGAGAGGAGCATGTAAAAAGCGTTAACAAGGATACGATGCCGACCCTGACTAATTCTATAAGTCTCCTCTCTCTTTCTCTCTCACTCTCTCTTTCTCCGTTTCCTCTACCATCCCCTCTACCAACCATTTCAAGTATCTCCTTCAGCCCTTCTTAGCCCACCTCATTCTCGGCCCACAACCCCCATATCTTTTTCGGTCATCCATCTTTTTTCTTTTTTCCCTTTCCTTCCAGCACGTCTCTCTTTCGTCCATTTCTTCATCTACCTTTAAACCATTTAGAAATACACTATCCATCCATCTACTCTTACCTCATCTACCTCTTACCGGGCCCCGCACCATCCCACCATCATCCTATTCCCCGTCTAAACATCCCAACCCCGCCACCCTTCCTCCCACCCACCGTGTCATTCTCATCGTCCAAATGATACCATTTTATAATACGTTTGTTCGACGCGTGCGTCTTCTTCTTTTTCTATATTCTTTTCTCTCTCTCTCTCTCTCTCTCTCTCTCTCTCTCTCTCTCTTGTCTCTCTCTCTCTTTCTCTTTTTGTTTTTTTTTTTTGTTTAATTTTGCTTCATTTTATTTCATTTGATTTTCTCAAAATTATTCTGACATTTAGTTTGTACGAATATATATAATTAAAAAATTAAACGTATATATATGTGTATATATATATATATATATAATTAGATTGTCAAAAGGTCATTGACCTAAAACCCTTCAATAAAGAATTCGTATAATAATTTAATAATTACGTACCAATAATAATCATAATTAATTCATCGATCCATATACGACTATTTTCATTTAAAAATGAACGAATAATATATATATATATATATATATATATATATATATATATTTTTCCAGAGAAATTATTCGAAGAATAGAGAGAGAGAGAGAGAGAGAGAGAAAGGAAAAAAAAAAGAAAGAAAATCATTCGTAATATTATCAAAATATTTTAATATTCAATTATTTCTTGAATTAATTCAATGCCATAATCCCCGTATCAGAAAAAAAAAGAAGAAAAAGAAAAAAAAAAATTGAAAGCTCGTCCACCCCCAAAAAAACCTTCGGATTTTATTTTCTCTCTCTCTCTCTCTCTTTTTTTTCCTTTCCTTCTCATTTCACATATATATATATATATATATTTTTGTGTATCTTATTTTTTGTTTTTCATTTCTTTTTTTCTTCTGCATAAGAGAATCACTATACATTTCGTTTCTTATTCACATTCAAGGGAAACTATATCCCGAGCATTACTGAGCGCACAACTCAGAATATAAGCAAGCGTTCGGGAACGGACTGAACAGTAATTATCTTTCTCTCTCTCTCTCTCTCTCTCTCTCTCTCTCTCTCTCTCTCTTTCTACGGCTCGTGTAAAAATAATAATTAGCTCCCACCGTTGTATTAATTAAAGTTCCCATACCAAACTTCTCCACCATCATCTACCCTCTTTCTCGTTCACATACATACATACATATATATATATATATATATATATATACAAATATACAGATACATATATCCATACATGCATAAATGCATGCATATATTCCTATATAGATATATATACGTACATATACATATATATATATATGTATATATATATATATATATATATATATATATATATATATTATATAGACACGAAGCAAAGAGTTCGAGAGCGTAATTACACGTCCCTTATGGCACCAATGTCCTTCAAAAGAGGACCGACTTCTTCACGGGCCGCCCACGTCACACGATTCTCTTTCTTTTTCTATCTCTCTTTCTCTTTCTCAATCTTTCTTTTTCTCTCCTTCTCTTCCCTCCCAACCCCTCTCTCTCTTTCTCGTTATATATATATATATATATATATATATATATATATATATATATATGTATCTCTTTTTCTCTTTATAGCTATCGATCATTGGTCGAAGAGTCATTATTTGAAAAAGTAACTTTACGATTGGGTACTATGTAATTATTACACTTTCATTTAAAATATGTATAATCATGAATCTGTATTATATATGTATATATAAAAGTATATATATAAATATATATATGTATGTATATTTTATATATATATATATGTGTGTGTGTGTATAGAAAAGTAGAATGGAAATTCAATTTGTTAGTTTCTAATTTTTTTTTTTAATTAATAATTAAACTTCATTTCCATAATAAGTTTAAACTACATACTCTGGTTATATATATATATATATATTTTTTTTTTTTACGATAAAAAGAGTTTAAAAGGATTTAGATAAGATTCATTATAAGAATTAAATTGTTCTTACAAAAAAAAAAAGAAAAAAAAAATCGTTCGTATTTAATTTGTACGATAATTAATTTTAATTAATTAATCGTCGTATTGAAAATTAATATTATGTTGTATCACGTAGGACGTAGATGAAAATGAAATTTTCTTTATCATACTGATCGAATGCGATTAGAAAAATTTTGATAGTACGTTGTATATTCGTTTCTTTGTTTTTCTTTCTTTCTTTCTTTCTTTCTTTTCTTTTCTTCTTTAAATCTTTTTGAAAGTTTAATTTTAAATCACATTTTATATTTATTTCGATATTATTTCATGTTCATCGTACGTCAGGATTATCGCATAAACAATGCAATTTTTCTATTATTTCACTTGTTAGAATGAATTTAGATTGATAATTCGTAAAGATTAGAAGAAATTTATTTATTTCTTTTTCTTTCTTTTTTTTCAAAATTTAATTTAAATTTTATTCGTTGTTCGCGCGAATGTTTCGATAAAAAAAAAATTAAGTACGTATCAATAGATACGTATTAAATGATAAAATTATTTCCGCGATTAGAAATCGAAACGATTAGATGTCGAAGGGATTAGAAATATTTGAATTAAAATATTGTATATATACATGAATCGTCAGATTCAATTTTAATCTTCCTTTAATTCAATATATTAAATTAAGAATTAAATTAAAGAAAAAGGAAAAAAAAAAGGAAAAAAAAAAGAAAAGAAAATCTGTATGATTCCCATAAATTTCAAGATCGATAGATCCTTCAAAACATTTTTCTATCGTCTATTAAAATTCCTAATAATATAATAACGTCGACGTAAGATTTAAAAACTTATCATTTAAAACGATTATTATAAATTCAAACTTATCGTTAGATTTGTTTCATTCTGATGTATATTTAACGCGATCATTGAGAAAATCTCAAAATTCTATCCTTTCGATTATTCCTTTTGAAAAATAATTCTATCCAATTCGTCTTAATTGTTTAAAAATTCCTAAGCATTAATTTTAACGCTTAGATTAATATTAACGAAATCGATTAGAAAAAAAAAATTCACTAATCGAGTCATAAACTTCGAAACGCGCGCTCTTACGAATATTATTCGAAAGAAATGAAAAAAAAAAAGCGAAAAAAAAAATAAAACAAAATAAAATAAAATAAAATAAAATAAAATAAAATAAAATAAAATAAAATAAAATAAATAAAATAAATAAATAAAAAATAAAAATAAAAATCAGATCTAATTTCTTTCAAATCACGATCCAATGAAATGTTGGAGACTCGGTAGAAAAAAAAAAAAAAAAAAAAAAAAAAGAAAAAAAAAGGAAAGAAGAACGAGAAAGTAAAAAAAGTAAAAAAAAAAAAAAAAAAAAATTTACGAATTACTTAAAAATACTTGCCTGACGCACCTGTTTGAACTGCTCCTCGAAGCTCCAACTAGTTTGTTGATGATTAGATGTTGAATTGTTATTGTTGTTGTTGTTATTGTTGTTATTATTGTTGCTGTTAGCGTTGTGGGAATGACTATTACCAGCAGAATGATCCCGTGCTTCTCCTCCAGTTTTTCCACTGCAATGCGATGATTCGCTCGAGTGCGAGCTAGACGATGATGTAGCCACTTGATTAATGTTGCTTCCGGTCGCCGTGTTTAGTCCTGGTGGTCCTAATCCTGCTCCTAATCCAGATCCCAATGCGACTACGGCCGCAGCGGCTGCGGCCGCCGATGACGTAGATGGTACCAATCCACTTTGCGCGTGATTGTTTTGTCCATGGTGTTGGGGTGGTAAAAATGTTGGTGGAAACGTAAATGGTAAACTGAAACCACCGCTACCCATTGCCGCTTGTAATGCCTCCAATCCACTTTTGTTGTTCAATATATCGACGTCGGCCTAAAAATATTAATATTTTATAATGATTAATTATTAAAACAAATAAAAGCAAAACAAAAAAGAAAATTACAAGTTCAAAATTACAAAATTAAAAGAAATAAATTATTACGACGAATCGATCGTTCAATTCTTCTACGAATATTAATATTAGATTGGAAACTATGAAACGGGCGTTTTTGTTTAGTTATTTATTTTCATTCAATGCCCGTTTCATTGTTTCCAACTTAATACTCATATATTAGGTTGGAAACTATGAAATGGGCGATTTTGTTTAGTTATTTATTTTCATTCAACGCCCGTTTCATAGTTTCCAACCTAATTATTAATTAACGTTGATATGAATTATATACATATATATACATATATATATATATATATATGTTATTCAATGATAAATATAAATAAATATTGCTGATGAGCACCCGAATAAAATTGATAATAATAATAATAATAATGATAATAATAAAAGTATTTTTTCTTTTGTTTTTTTTTTACTGACCTCCATCTTTAACTTGGCTAGAAAATGTGGATGATGGCTATTCATGAGTGTGTTGAGATTTGTCAAAGGTGTGGAAGTTGTGTTGGTCGATATAGACGGTGGTTCCGATGGATTCTGATGTGTAGTACTATGTCCAGCGTGTGGCTGCTGTGGTAACTCTTCTCCACTTTCTTCATCCTGTAAATCGGGATCTGATAAATCTTCTTCTTGATGGGACTGAAATCGAGAAAAAAGGATCAAATTATTAAAACTTTGTTCCTTGTTAACTCAATATAATTAAACTTTATTTTGTTTATTCGTTCATTTATTTATTTATTTATTTATTTACATTTTCTTCTTTTCAAAATTTAAAACATTCTTTTTTCTTTCTTTCTTTTTTTTTCTTTTTTTTTTCGGATTAATAATTCGAACAATCCAACGTTCAGTATATTTCTATAGAATTTCACGTTTGAAAAATTCCACGAATTTGTTATATCGATTATAAAAAAAAAAAAGGAAAAAAAAAAAAAGAAAAAAAACGATTAATATTCCAGATAATTTCTAAATATGCTTATTCACCGAAGTAAAACGATCGATGTGTCTCTTTCGAAAAAAGAAAAAAAAAAAAGAAACAAGAAAAAACAAACAAATAAATAAATAAAAAAAAATAAATAAACAATAAAAAAAATGACAAAGGTGCCAAATAAAAAGTGAACGTAAAGATAAATAAATCAAAAAAATATATGAAAGAAATAAAAGAAAAACAAAACTAACGGAGTGGGGCGGGCGGAGGGGAGCAAAAATAAAAGAAGCTGTGTAAACTTCTTACGATTTAACAGTCCCAATCAATCTCTCTCTCTCTCTCTCTCTCTCTCTCTCTCTCTCTCTCTCTCTCTCTCTCTCTTTCTCTCCTTCACAAAAAAAAAACAACAACAATGATCAAAAAAAAAAAAGAAACAACAACACACACAAATAAATAAATAAATAAATAAATAAATAAATAAAAATGACGAGCAAAAAAGAAGAGTAAAAAAAGATTCTCTCTCTTTCTGTTTCACAAAAAGGAAAAGGAGAACGATAAAGAGGACAATTAAGTGGAATAAAAAGATAAAAGATAAAAGATAAGAGATAAAATAAAAAATAGAAAAGAGAGGAAGAAAGAAGAAAAAGGGAAACGACGAAAAAAAAATCAAGGGGAAAAATAAAAAGAAAAAAAACAACAGAAAAAAAAAGAAAACGAAAAGGAAAAGAAAAGAAAAAAAAATAAAAGAAAAGAAAAGAAAAGAAAAGAAAAGAAAAGAAAAGAAGAAAAAGAAGGAAACGTCGGGAATTATTTTACAATTTAACAATTAAGAAACGAATTAAACATTTTACAAAAACTTGATTCAGATCGACTTAACTCGCACATTTTAGTTTCGTTTCATTATACTTACATTATAGTAGGGATTAAATGTCAAAAGTAGGGACAAGAAGGATAGGGTAGTGTGAGGATAGAAGGGAGGGCAAACGGAAGAGAGAAGAAGTATTAGAAGGACAGATAGAGACAAATAGAAAAGTGACTGAGTGAGAGAGTGACAAAGAGAGAGAGAGAGAGAGAGAGAGAGAGAGAGAGAGAGAGAGAGAGAGAGAACGTCCGTTGATAGGCGATATCGAACGGGCGAATGTAATGGTGAATAAGGAGGGCAGATATCGGGGCATTAAACATTAATTAGGAAAATGGCGAGCTAGCTATGGTCGTAGTAGTATATAGCGCGTTATATACTATGAGATAACTGCTATCGGCTTAAAATTATTATGCTACGGGTGTCATATGTGTTTTATGACCGTGCCCGTTGCACCGGTGCCGGCATAAAAAAAGAAAAAAGAAAAAAAGAAAAAAGAAAAAAGAAAGAAAGAAAGAAAATGGAAAAAGGAAGAATTAAAAAAGGAAAATGGACGAAAAAAGAGGAAGGAAAAGGAAAAAAGAAGAAAAAGGAATAAGAGAGAATTTGCGAAGATGCGTTCGTTTAAAAAAAAAAAAAAAAAAAGAAAGAAGAAGAAGGAAGAAAAAAAACGACGTGGAGAGAGACGGAAAAGAGAGAGAGAGAGAGAGAGAGAGAGAGAATGATTAATATTTTTTTTGTTTTCACTTTCTTTCTTTATTTCTTTTTATCTTTACTTTCGCCAATTTGTGAATTATTAATTAATTTTCATAAATGCGAAAGTGAACTGTTAAAAATGGAAAAGTAAAAAAAGAAATGGGAAATGAAAAATAAGAGAAGAAAAAATACAAGGAAAAGGAAAAAAAAAAAAAAAGAAAGAAAAGAAAAAATACAAGGGGGGAAAAAAAAGGGAGTAAGAAAAAATAGTATTATGGTACAACATAGGGTGCATAAAAAAATTACTGAGAAGTGACGAGAAAAACAAAAACAAAAAAACAAAAGAATAAATAAATAAACAAATAAATAAGAAGAGCGAAAAGAAAGAGAGTGACAGAGACAGAGAGAGAGAGACAGAGAGAAACAGAGAGAGAGACAGAGAGAGAAAGAGAGAGAGAGAGAGAGAGAGAGAGAGACAGGTATAAAAATAAGTCTAGTTGAGTGAAATTGACACGTTGACGCGTCAAAAATTGTTGAGAAAGATAGAGTTTATTCGTTTAAAAGTAAAGTTAAAGAACGACGATGACTTTCTCACGCTGCTATCTTCCTTTTAACGATATATTAGTTATTTTACTAGTTTTCTGCGGGTACGCTTATAGGATCTAACGATATGTAGATTAACGTTCAACTCTTCGTTGATATTCTCGAATGGTGTATTACGATAACATTTTGTGATATGTACGATACGTATAATGTGTCCTGTCGTTCGCCCTTCAATTCTGTAATGTATTATTTAAGAAAAGAAAAAAGAAAAAAAAAAAAAATAAAGAAAAGGAAGAAAGAAAATAAAAGAAAACAACGAGAGAGAGAGAGAGAGAGAGAGAGAGTGAGAGTAAGAGAGAAAAAAAAAAGAGAGAAAAAGGAAAAGAAATTAATGAGTAATAAATCTGATCGATTTCTACATTACGATTGAATGAATGAATCAATGTATGAATGAAATGTATCTATGAATGAATGAGTGAATGAATGAGTGAATATATGAATGAATTTTTTTTGACACTTCTTCGATTATTTTTACTTAAAATTTTTACTTGAAAAAGAAAGGAAAAAAAAGAAAAGGACTACATATAAATATTATAAGATGAACTATATATATATATATATATATATATATATATATATATATATAAAATAAAATATAAAAAATAAAGACATAATATCATAAATTAATAAATATGCACAATCAATTATTGATAATCAATTTATTAATTTATAATTTGATGAATATCTCTTTATATCGTTTCTTTAAAGTTAACACGAATAATATAAAGAAAACTATATATACATATATATATATATATATATAAAAATAAAAAAAAATCTTAAGAGTAATATGATTTCAGAGAAAACTTTCTACTCCTTTGCTCTCCCACTCCAATACATACATACATATATATATATATATATATATATATATATATATATATATAAATAATAGTATATACCATATATGAAATGGCAAGACAAACTTTTCTACCTGAAAGATGGACACGGTCTTATATAAATACGAACGTGCATCACGAATGCAGGTGGTACACACGCGTCTTCATCGTTGCAAGGACCGAACTTAAAAATGGGACTACGATACAGGACACCATAAGAAAGAGAGAAAGAAAAAAAGAGAAAAAGAGAGAGAGAGAGAGAGAGAGAGAGAGTCAGAATGAGACAAGTTCGTTCCCTCTGTCGGCATTTCGAGCACGTGTGATAATATTGACCCTTGGATATGGTGGTCAGAATGGTCGAATCTTTCATTTCATTCCTCTCTCTCTCACTCTCCCTCTCTCACTCTTTCTTTTCCTCTCCCCTCCTCACATTATTCTCCATCTCTCTCACTCACTCTCTCTCTCTTTCTTTTCTTCTCCCCTCCACACATTCTCCATCTCTCTCTCTCTCTCTCTCTCTCTCTCTCTCTCTCTTTCTTTCAATCTTTCAATCTTTCAATCTTACTTTCTCTCTTTCTAATCAAATACGAATCCTAATCAAATAGTAAACAAGTCTATACTTCGAATTCCGATCTCACCATCTCCATCTATTAACTTCTCTATCTTTTCGATTATCATAATTTTATTATTATTATTATGATTATTATTATTATTAGTGGTAGTATTAATATTAGTAGTAGTAGTAGTAGTAGTAGTAGTAGTAGTAGTATTAGTAGTAGTATTAGTAGTAATAGTAGTAGTTGTAATACTATTTAATCTAACGAATAGAATGTAAAGAAAAATTTTGGATTGAGATCTTTAATTATGTTTCCTTCGAAAATTTTACAAAAAGAATAAGGAAATATATATATATATATATATATATATATATATATATTCGTAGAAAATCAGATATGATCTTAACGCGATTATGATATTTTATAATATGATAAAATTATTTATATTAAAATACTATTATTATTATTATTATTATTATTATTATTACTATCATAATACATATATTAACTTTAATTTTTAATATATTTAATACGTAATAATCATTAGTAAAAATTTATATTAAATTATTATTATTATTATGTATATATATATATATATATATATATATATATATAATAATTCAATAAAATGTTAATAAATTATCATATTATACGCAATAGTATATAATAATTCAGAATGATATAATATAATAAACTGTTACGAATGTATGAACGTACGAATGTATATAATGTTTGATAATTAAATAAATATTATATACGTGTGTGTGATGTACATATCCATATACACGCATAAATAATATCACATATGTACAATAACATCGTATTACCATCTACGTAATAACATAATTTTTAATCTCAAAATTATGAAATTCTTAATATTATCACATTATTCAGAATTCAATAATTTATATTGTAATTAATAAATTGAATTATTTATATTGTAATAAATAAATAAATTGAATAATTTATATTGTAATAAATAAATAAATTCAACAATTTATATTGTAATAAATAAACATATTGAATAATTGATATTGTAATAAATAAATAAATTAAATAATTTATATTGTAATAAATAACAAAAATTGAGAATAAGATACAAACAAACAAACAAACAAACAAACAAACAAACAAAAAATATATATATATATATATACATA